GGTGATATAATGTATAGGCCTGGTGGGTTCAGGGTCTTTCATCTTACATCTGCCTGTGAGCAGTTTGGAGGTGGAAGATACCTGAGCGTGTAATGTTAATTTTACCTGTGATCCTTTGAATCAATCAGCACTGTTTTGAAGTTACTTGGACTGTCTCGTCTCTCAGAGTTAGCATGGTAAAAAGAACGGGTTCCTACAACCTGAAGCTGCATGTAAAATCTTAGGGGTGGTATTTGAGAGTGCCTTTAACCAGGTCAACTCAGTGGTTAAGGCAAGATTTTTCATCTGGGACTTAGCTAAAATCAAGCATTTTCTTTTTTTTTAACAACTTTGAAAAGGCAATTCATGTATTCATCACCTCTAGGATCACCTATTGCAATGCACTGTGTTTCCAGTCTAATTTCCCAGTCTTCCCTGCCTCATCTTCACTCGGCCCAGAGTGCTGCTGCTTGTTTGTTGGTTAGCAGGATTATGGACTGGATGCATCATCAATACTTGGTAAAGACGTTGGTGATGACCAACCCTAGAAGTGATTAGATTTTGGCTAAAAAGGCCAAAACCACAAAAAAAAAACAAAGTGAAAAATCCCTATCTTTAACATGGGGCAAAATTTTATAAGATTAATATCTCTGTCAAAAGTTATCAAAATCATTTGAAATCTGTCACACATATGAAGGGTGGCGATGTCTACCACCAGACCAAATTTCATTAGGATATAATCCAGGTACCTGATCTTACAGCCATTTAAATTTAACACTGAAAACCCCATTTAATGTATATTTTCTGCCATAATTTGTCCTACAATGAAGGCAGAACCCTGAAGCATTCAGGTAAAATGCACAGTATAACTGCCTCATACCCTAAAAGATGATCTGGATCCGATCCAGAGCAAGAATTTCAGGACACATTTTGTGTTGTTCTGGAGCTCCTTTTTCACAAGGGACCCATTTGCATGAGCAAATGTTGTGCCTTGTTAAGATTTTGTTATTTGTTTTTAAAGCTTTGCACAATTTGGCTCCTTTGCATATTTCTGAGCTTTTACTTCACTATTCGCTGTATATTGTGAGGCAGCTGTGGCCGAGGAAGTAGAGGTGTCGTTCCTCAACCAGAAGGTCAGCGGTTCGGTTCCCGTTCTCCCCAGTCCACATGTCGAAGTGTCCTTGGGCAAGACACTGAACCCAAGGCCAGAGCCTGTCCCCTGCAGGGACAGCGCCACTATTGGTGTGTGTGTGTGTGTGTGTGTGTGAGAGAGAGAGAGTTGGCACTGCACACGGCTGGTTTAGAAAAGTGCTATTACCAGTAATTTAAATTTAACCCAACGGACCAGTGGATTACTAAACTCTCTGCAACTTAATTTGTTCTATACACTTAAACCAATCATAAATGAAACTATTAACTGTGTTTAATTCCAACAAAGTTACTTTCATTTTACTGTTCCCGCTGCTGGAATGTTTTCCATTAGGAGGAAGCTAAGAGATTCCCATGTTGTACTCTTATAGCTGTCAGGTGTAATTTAGTGTTGTATTAATGTGGTGTCTGAGCAATAAACTCCAAACCTCTTGCAACACAGACACATTAAAGAGAATGTGCACAGTGTCAGAGACCACGTCATCTTTCCTGGATGTGTTTAGAGGATGAGTTGCACAGGAAGAGCGCGCTCACAAACTTCCTGGAATGTGGCAGAGTTTGTCTCTAGCTCCCAGAGGTGTTGGAGAGGTCTATGTTTTTCATATAGTACACACTAGGGGTGGGATCGTGTACACGAGTACACGATGGCCTTACCATAATAGTTTAGCCAACGTTTGACTCGCTTAAATTCTTGCTACTGTATCTTGTTACAAGGAGAAAGGCTTCTCCTTGTAACAGGATACTTCTCTTGTTTTGATGAGATACGTTCGTGTTAAAACATGATTTTTCTCGTTATGACGATATACTGTATTTTCTTCTTAGAATGACATAGGCTATGTCAAAGTGTCCTTGGGCAAGACACTGAACCCCCCCGTTGCCCGTGATGGCAGCACATATGCACGTAGCGGCCCGGGGCCCTCGGCTCCAAACATAATTTCGTTGTACGTGTCACAATGTTACAGTGACAATAAATAAAGCTTCTTCTTCTTCTTCGATACTACACTTGCTTTGAACAGTACGCTCACTCAGTCAGTTCAGCAGCCTCTCTCTCTCTCTCTCTCCTCAACACCTGCCATTCCAACTTTCCACACAGTGACCAGCGCTGCGCCCAGGAGGTGCACTCCATCAGACATTTAGATCCACACACAGTAATTAGCCCACAAAATAACACACACTGCTCATGAGCAGATACCCTGCACATGTCCCAAATAGGTTTCAGGCATTACTGACAGCAGGTGAACAGGCTACTCACACCAAGCTGCGCAGGGCAAAGGGAGTCGAGATGATCTTATTAGATCGGGTCATACATTTGAAACTACAGAGTAGATGTTGATCACGCAGTGAACGCCAGACACAGTGGCCTAATATTTGTCCAAGACAATTTAAGATCAAAAAATGTGCGTGGAGGCGCCACTGCTCATATATAGCTATGTAACTTTCCACCGTCAACGTTCCACGCCTCGGGGGATGCTGTAATTCGTATCCTGGGTAATAGGCTACCGTATGGAAAAGGTGCACATGTGTACACGCTGTAAAAAATCTGCAAGTACTCCTTTGTGAAAATGTGTAAATATTCCCACTCCTAGTACACACATTCATCAAAATACATAATTTTCATTCTGCTACCCTCGTCTAGGTCATACTTACACCAGCCTTTACAGAAACTTCTCAGCTGTCATAACCTACAGAGATAAAACTTTTTCATCTAACTTATTTTAATCACGATAAATAGTATGACCTCAGAGACATTAAGGAGACAAAACAGGCACCTCTGAATGAATGAAGACAGGGAGGAGAAGCAGCTATGTCCTGTCGCTCTGTCAACTCTACAGGAGAAATCAAGACTAGGAACTCACCCCACCCCAGTTGAGCGTCCTGGCAAGGTCATTTCCTGTTCCCAGAGGAAGAACAGCAACCGGAGGCTGGGGGTTCATCTGCAGCTCGTCTAGAGCGGACAGGATCCACCCCACCTATAGACAGACATACACAGGAAAGTATAAGATTTAGAAGAGAACATATGTAACTTATCACTTAACTGAACCCTCTCTGTCCCTTTAGGAATAAACAATAACGAACTATATTTAGGGAAACCACCAAAAACCCAGCCTTTATTCACTGCTACATTTCTCACACACAAGGCTAGCTTGTAGGTGGGTTTACATTCACCTAATTTTATGAGCATGTTCAAGTCTGCGAGTAAAACAACCTGAGTGGAAAAGGCTGCAATTTGGAAAAAGTCTAAGCATGTGACTAAAATGTCGACTGACTGAAAACAGAGGCAGATGAAAAGATCAGGTCTGTGAGGGCCCATGAGGAAACTGTCCCGTTCCTTAAGTGAAACCAGAAAGAAAGGTCACACTTCCACCATGTGTTACACATTGTTTGGCACTGGTTCAGGTGCGACCAGCACCTTTATTTGCATGCTCTTCTTCTGCAGTGGTTTTAAAGGCACCGACTAGAGGATTACCACCAACAGCGCTTTATCTTAATGAACCAACTCCTGATACTTGTGGATGGAAATGGGCACTAACTTGTATTTTCTTCACCAGAATTACTGAAAATTTGGATGGTCATCTACTTAAAGACAAAGCTGAAACTTTTTTTTTGTCACGTCTATTAATACCAGGGTCAAACTTATGGTCAATGCAAACATTTATCACTTCGTCTAAACTATACAAGTTCAGTTCAGTGCATTAAATGCGAGTAGGAGGGGACACTACAGTACTGTATAATATTCATCATGGCAATGTTATCAAAGATTTTTAGTAGAAAGTGGTACCTGTGAACTTATTTTGTGCCCTAAACTATGTTTACTTGGTATAATTCTTACTGTAACCTAAGTTGTGAAAGGAAAAAGATGGGATATTATTGATATTGGCTGTGTGCCATCCCCCAGCCAGCAGCTAAAAGGACTCATCCGCCTGAAAACATTAACATTTCCATTAAAGGAAAATTTCAAAGACAGTGAAAGGATGTGGGGACCATTTGTTGACTTTCTGAATATAGAATAATATCTAAAATAATACAAAATATATTAATACAATAATTTTCTTTATCTTAAAGTATGAAGTTGTTATTTAAGTAAGTGTCCTTATGTTCTTATGCTTTGTCTTCTTAATTTTAAAAGCATTTTTACATTTATGTGATACAAAGAGAGTAAAGCAGAAGAGAACAGAGCCGTACCGTTCCGTCCCCTCCGCAGGCAAGGATCCTCAGATTTGGCACTTTCCGATACAACTCCAACCTGTGCAGAGAGCAGAGAGAGGCCTGGCTGTAGAATAAAAGCAGAAAGCAGTGCTCATTGGTGTCGAGTGGGTGTAATTGGTCCAAGCTTCATGAAACCTGCTCAAACTATGAGAAGTGTATTTGAATAAAAGAGGATAATGACTCAAATGGAAGTGAGAAGAGAAGGCATTATCCACCAGCAGTGGACTGTGATAACAGTGTGATGTGAAATAAAGATGTAAGTAGAAAACTATTACAAAACAGGGGTTCACTACTAGTGCATTTCTTACACACACTTCACTCAGAAGGATACACTGACTGGAGCAGGATTTTTAAACACAGTGTCACAGAGGAGGAACTCACGCCTCTCGCAGCCCGCCCTGCGACAGGTCAAAGACTTGTCGAGGGTTCAAGATCCACATGAACATCTGTAGCACCTTGGCACCCTAAAGAGAGACAGATAAAGAATGTAATGTTTGATACCACATTTAAAAACAACTGCAAGGTGTCCATGAAACTACAGACAAGTATCTGAGAAGTGCATAACGACGTGTTCCTGCGGGGTTTTTGTTGAGGCAGTTCCTATCACAGTGATCATGTTGTTATCGTACTGTATAGTCATCTGATGAAACTAATCCTGTTTGAGCCAACATCTTTGTAATGACATGTTCTGTCTTTCCCAAGTAAAACACCTGACAACATCCTGTTGAGATCCAAACAGCGGAGAAGATTGATATAAAGATCTTCATTTATAAATGTCATGATGCAACGTAACTGTTATCTCTTTTACGACAACACTCAGCAGAAAGGCTCTTAGCCAAGTCCAGTGTTACAGACACAGCGAGTACCTCTGCCTGCAATAAAAATGATTTGCAGGTAAAGATTTTTAAATCTAAACTCCAATACAAGCAGTGACTTGGCAATAACACTCCTCAGAGTGGGTATAAATAACATTACAGGACCTTCCCCACTCACACTTACCTAGTTCAAATAAAGCCAACTCTGTCTCAAGCCAACGGAAATAAAAGATTAAAAAGCTGCTAACCTGGTTGCCCCCACTCTTGGGATTGACAAAAACCAAGATGGGCTTCATGAGAGGAGACGGAAGAGGCTTCAACATGAACGGGCGCCACTTAGACTCCTGACACACAGAAAGGGAAACAGAAAAAGATAAAGTCACACCTACAGTTAGCATGTAATACATGACACTAAAATTATTAGTTGATTAATAAATTAGCATTATTAAAATTATTAAGCTGGAGGCTGATTCTGTATTTGGAGGTGAATAAATCACAGTATGCGAAGACTTTTTCTCTTGTGTATTGTGCACATGCTGGGGCAGTGGAGGCAGTTTGTGTAGGAAGTAAAACACAATGGCCTGAGCAGGAGGAGAGGAGAACACACATCTGAACCTTCTGTATATAATGTACGTCTACAGCATGTACACCACTATTCTCTGTCAGAGTCTGTCACAGTGTCACCTACATCCAGTCCCTTCTTGCTCGTCCTTCGTTTGAAAGATGTCCGCTTTTTTCTCCTGGCGGAGTTCTTAAGTGAGCTCTGGAGTATACACACACACGCACACACACACACACACACACACACACACAAACACAGTTCGGTGGTTAGTTCACTGTCACTGTGTTCCTTGATGATGGTAATTAAAAGTGCAATGATGCTTGTGATGTGACTGAGGTGTGTGTGTGCGTGTGATGACAGAGACACAAACCCAGAGCTCCCTCAGGCAGATCAGACATGTGTCAGCTCACATCGCATCACAGTCAAACTAACACACACACACACACACACTTCGACACAGGCCTTCTCTTAAATTTAGATGCAACTAAGTCATTTCTCATTACTGTGACAAAGTGACAGCCAGTGTACTTTATCAGCCAGTGGAGTGACAGCTCAGGGGGCTCTGAGTGTGTGTATCTGTATACATGTGTTTGTGTACACCTGTGGTTTCCTGACTTTGATGATCCAGGAGGGTGGTACTATGACTCCAGCGTGAGCCCCCAGTGAACATGGCTCCTCAATCTGGTGCAGCATGAAACACGTCACCTTGTTGTGGAACTGCAAGACAGAATGTCTCTGATTATTGATCCTGTGTATTGATTATTTGATCAGCTCTAAGCTGCAGGTGTACAACTACACCCTGGCTTTTAAAGGGTCATTTCACCCAAATGGCCAAAACATACAAATTAAAGAAGAAACAACGTGAATCAGACGCTGTGGCCTTCCCTGTCACCAGGTCTCAGCCCAGTTGAACAGCTATGGGAGATGTTGGAGCGACGTGTTAGACAGCGTCTCCACCACCATCGTCAAAACCCCACATGAGGGAACATCTGTGGGAAGAACGGTGTTCATCCTTCCAGTACAGTTCAGAGACTTGGAGAGTCTGTTCTGGTGGCACATGGTGGCCCAGCACCTCACTGAGACTCTTTATGTTGGCTTTTCATTTAATTCGTCACTTGTTTGTATAAACATTTTCATTTATCAGAATCAGAATCTGCTTTATTGGCCAGGTGTGTCGGACACATGAGGAATTTGACTCTGGCACATTGGCTCTCAATATGCATGTACATATCTCCATAGAAGGGGCAAGTAAACAGTAAACCACCATACGGCTGTGTAGTATAACCAAATAAGCAGTATTAGCTCAAGGATCTGACCACGCATGTCATTTTGTTTTTATTTGCCTAGGTTTTGATCAAGGGAAATACATGCTGACTGCATAATTATGATTACTGCTCATACCTTTCATAGCTGAAATCAAATATGTCACGTAAAATGCTTGTTCCTATGTTGTATTAATTATAACAAATCTTACCAAATTCCATTTCAGTGCATGTTTGTTTAAAGTAAAGCGACTAATACAGAAGGAGAATTACTTACAGCCTGTTTACACCAGGAACAACTGATGGCGATGATTTCTTTACTGTGGAAGAACTTCTGTTGAAAACTCTAATGGAACAGAGAGAAGTACACTGTGTAGTCTGTAGGATAACTGAACAACATAGCATTAGTGTCTGTGTGTGTGTGTGTGCTGACCTTTCCACACTGTCTACATTTCCCCTCCTGTCGCCGTCTGTGAACCCAGTGATGTCTCAGTATGTTCTGCTGTCAGAGAGAGAGTGAGATGCTAAACATGTTCACACACAAACTAAAGGTGCAGCGCTTAACTGATAGGATTCGGAAAATCAATACGAGAGTCAGATTTGGCTTTTTCTGCTTGAAATACAAAACTGCTTTGAGGAAACACTATCTCATTTTAATTTTATTCCCTAAATAGATACTTTAATGTATGTGTAGTGTTTCAAATAAAAGCCAAATTAAAATTAAATATCTGCTGAGTCGAAACACAATCACTGAATTGTACTGTATCGTACTGTTGCAAATTTTGCTGTATCGTTTTTGTATCTAATCATGTACCATGTATCGATATGCATACTGAATCGTGTGAGAGGGAGTGATGCACACCCCTAACACAAACAGTGTCTCTCACATGTATACAGCCATTTACACACATCCACATTCATACACCTGCACACGTACGTCTCTGAGACATCTGGAGCCTCCCTCTCTGAAGGTTGGCTTACATCGGAAGTTAATCTAGAGAGAGAAACAAAAATAAATATTTACTAAGTGGCACAAAATATCAAACAGTGTTAGTTTTATTCCAAAAAGTGGCATATAACTGGAATTCATGAATATCTCCACTAATGTAATGAGTCAAAACAGTGCTTTTGGAACCAAATTGTCTATTCTAGTCATGTTAGAAAAACCCGATCGATGTGTCTATCAGAACAAAACTGTGAGGATTATTTTCATCATGAACATAATGTCAGCATTTAATAACGGTATCAACTGTGTCAAACAAGACAACTTTTAAAATCATTCAGACACCTTCCAGCACACATTTGTCAGGTAGGTAACGTGTGTACAGGCATTAAACACAGCAAGAAAAATCTAATCTTAACGTTAACTAAGTGTAAATCTTTGCTAGTTAATATTTCTACAGTGAAAAGCATCACTACATATACAGTCCTACAAATAGTGGTGGAAAGTAACCAAGTACATTTCTGGGGTACCTGCACTTTACTTGCTCATTTTCATTTTATGCTACTTCATATTTTGACTTGAATACATTTTAGAGGCAAACACAGTACTTCCTCCACCACTGCCTACAAAGGTGAGCTAAAACCACCTTGTCACAGAGATTATTAAGCCACTAAACTTGTAATTGTTGGGAAAAGGGACAAACAATCTGTTTTACCTTTTCTAGTTGATCTATGCAGCCGGTGTGAACAACGATCTTACAGGCTGCACATTTCCTTCTGGGGGCCGACTTCTTAAAGGACAAAACAGACAGCACAGAGGGCAGTGAGAACACACTAACAAAAGACAAACACACACAAGCACACCCTGTTACGCACTGATAAAGGCATACAGACACACAGATGCACAAAATGTGCTCAGGGTGCCCAAACATTTCACTTCTCTTCACTTCAGCAGCTTTTTATCAAAAGCATTAACAGTACAATGACACTCCAGGCATGAAAAGAGCCACCTTGACAATTTCACCAGTCATGACTCAAAATGAAAAAACAAATTATGGTGGCATCAAATTAACATTGCTGGCACCTCTGAAGGTAATAGATCAACCTGCTGCACTGTAGAGCTGTGCTCTTGGCTGCACACACTGGTCTATGACTTCTAACAGCAGCCACAACACTTAGGAAGCTGGCTTTAAATATTTTTAAGCCACTGGACTTCAAATACTGAGTAAGAGTCTACAGCCATGTTTGTGGCTCCGTTGGGCTGTACTTTGGCAATGCAGCTCTTTGAACTAAATGGTAATGCTAACAAGCTAACTTGTTGATCACAGCCAGCAGGTTCCACAGGTATTTGATCATTAAGCCAAATTTTGACCTGATGATGGTGTTAGATGAAAAGTCAGAGGATTGCCAAAGTTGAGAGATTCATCCTCTGTAATCATGAATGCCTGTTCAGACCTTCATCTCTATCCATCCAAAATGATGGACAGGCCAACAACATAAAACTGGCACTGCTGACAGCATAACTAAACGCAAACATACTATTTCTGCTAACTAAAACTATAAATAGAAAAAGTTGAGCTGATTGCTTCAAAATAGCCTCAATCATTTATCGCAGTCTAACTAGAAATAAAAAAACAATAGGCAAACACTCAAGATGCAAAAATGCTGTTTGCCTTCAATGAATAAAATTACCCTGCTGCTCTTACAACAGACAAACTATTCATTATGGGTAATAGTATGACAGTCAGTGGGTTCACTCTTGAAAGTCGCAGTGAGCAGCACCTAACACTGCTACTCCTGCATTTAATTTGCATCGCATAGAATTGTCATTTTTGACATTTGCATTTTTTCCCATTTATTCACAGCAGAAAAGCTGCTTTATCAAAACTAAACTGCGATGAAAGAATATAGCTACCACGTTTCCCTGTTTGCTAGCATAAAGTGCTAAGCACAGAGTAGACAAGCTAGCAAGGCTACCAAAGCGCTTTGTTGACTTTCTCTGGCTCTCTAGGTCAGGTTGCCCTTGCCTCAAGAGTCTTCTTGCAAACTACTCTGGGAATTTGTAAACAGAAGTGACAGATACCATTTTCTACAGCATGAATCACACATTTCTTTCAGTGCAGCTGCATCCTTCACACTGCCACGTTTCTCCCTTGATGACTAAGACTACAGTATATG